ATGGCTAATCACATCAAATGTTTCCTAACTAGGCCCCACAAATGCAGCTGGGACCAAAAGTTGGCAGGGTGGTGTTAGGAAGAGAAGGCGTAACCCTAAAATAAGGTTCGAATTCACCATCAACATGTCCACAGGTTTCCACATTTAGTGACATTTTCACTGATAACCTAACACGGGTGACAGGCAGCTTTATAATTATTATGGCATAATTTACATCAGTGGTTAGAGTCAGTATTGCAGGAAGCAGAGCAGTTGATGTGGACTCATGTTTAGAGAATGTCCCATACAATTTGTTGGTTTTTTAGCTGTGTATTAATTAAACTAAGTAAGAAATTATTAATTTTGATTGTTATCATTGGATAAGATTTAACTGGACTCTAATTGGCTTAAATAACTCTGTATCTTCAAAAGGTCTTGAAATGACTTGTTCTGTGATTTGGCACAACATAAATTGATCTAAATTGAGATTAATATAATTGGGAATAAATTCTCAACATATGGTAAAAACTGGTAAATTAATACAGAGATTTCAAAGAATTCCACACAGCTGATAAGAAGTATTTGCACATTTCACCAACAAAGTTACTAAACTATATTATTTGTAATCTATCAAAAAACGGAAAAAAACAGAACTAACAGAATTTGGTCAGAAACCCAGTCTTACCACTTCCTTTCAGCTTCTATGAAGTTAATAAAAAACACAATGCAGAGCTGAAAGACTTCTCAGTTACACATAAACAAGACAGGACAAAATATTTTCCAGGACAATTCTTCAAAATGATAGGAAAGATTTGCAATCTGTTTCATTTCTCCAATAACATGACATACAACAAAGTATATTAATGCATCAATAGCTAAACTGTGGACTGTTCAGAAAAACTTACCAACAGAGCCATAGAAATCCAAACTATGCTCAGAACACTGTTTGAAAACACCAGGTTTGAAACATTCATGCTTGTACTGTTTCGGAAATGTATAATTTCTCCAGAACATTACCACTCATGTTTAAGTTGAACACCTCCAGCCATTTAGTAACACTCATCCATATATCCCCGGTTCCCCTGGGTGGGAGGCAGTTTTCACCCACTCCTGGCTGCCATCAGAGGCAAAATATGCACCAAATATTCAAACCTGTAGTCAATTTAGGACAATCACTTAACCTGACAAGCATGGTTTTGGAAGCTGAAGCTGAAGAAACTGTTGTCCAAAATCTAAACTAAGAACCCTGTTTCTGTGAGGGAACAGTGCTAACCACCACACCTGCCCTCTGCTTTAATGCTTTAGCAAATAACTTGTATAGTAAATAATCTCATGAATCGCTTCCGTTTGAATAAGTCTTCAAACAATGGCAATTTCATATATGTTATGATCAGAAAAACGTCACAAATTAGTGTTGTGTTTTCTTCCAAGTGCATTTACATGGAAATGGTTAAACCTTCTGAAACAGATCATTCTAACAGAAGCTTTCAAAATGAGTTCACAACAAAAACTCTGTGGCTTTTGTTTGTTTTGTTCCAATTTCATATTCAAGTAATGCCAGTCCATTACATTTGAGCTTTTAAGGTAATGTTAAGCTCTTCTGACACTGGATAGTCCTTTGAGGAGCATGTGTGGTATTACTGATGTCACCAAGCTTGACAGAAACTCATGAAAATCAAAGAAAGGAAGAAAAACATACGACGAATCTCTCGACTGGAAACAAAAAGAGCAATTGTCTTAACTGTAAAGGACTAAAGGTTAGCAGACTTGCTAAATCTCACTACAGCCAAAGGAAATGGGAGATCTATTTCTGTTTGTGTGGCCCTCTGAAGTTGGCAGATCCCGTGCCCCAGCTGAAATTATGCCCTGTGCAGAAACATCTCAGAAACCTTGTTCTGTTTCGCTGCATGCGAGAGACCGCGGTGCCTTGAAATACCTCCACCGCAAAGCCACAGGCCAGGAGGGGATGGACTGCCTCAGATTTGAAGCCCAGACTCACGGGGTGTGTTTTTTGCCTCAAAATGGTGAGGCTGAAATTAAAGGCAGCGTATCCATGTAATTGCGCTTGAACCTGCCCACTGCTCATGGACCTCAGGCCAGCTTCTGCGCTCCGATGAAGGCCAGTTTGAACAAAGCAAACTCTGGCTATGTCGCGTCTACAGCGCATTTAAGCATGAGCTCACCACATAAACTGCATTATGATCAATTATGAATGACCATAAAAATACTTTACATGAAGAAACATTTGAAGTGCACTTTGCTTTCATACTGAATTGAGATTAATAATGAATATCTTGAAATGTTTGATTTGATTCAAGAGCTGCTGATTAAATCCTTCCCCTTACTGTATCTACTGACAGGTACTTGAAATCAGACTGAATTTTCTTTTTAATAACTCTCATTTTTGTTTGATCTTCATCTGAATCATCTTGTTTTATACAACACATTTCCAATACATCCCAGAAGCACTGAGGTGTTTGTAAGTCTATCAAATTTAAAGATGAAAACATTTTCTGACATGTATACAAAGAATATCATAGAAGCGTACAGTCGAATGTCTGGAATTGGCCGCGGCATAGCAGCGGAAACTTTCTCCAAGCAATGGTTTTACCATCTGTAAGACCCAGTCACTCTGGGGGAGGGAAGGTTATATGGTACAGTCCCTGCAAATAAGGGGTTGAAGTTGGTAGACTGTACTTAAATAATATGGCATTATAATGGCAGGAAATCGCACGTATGCTGGATTGACGATTTAGAAGTCTTACACAATCTCATACTGAAAAATGGTGGCTTACAGAGGACTTTAATTACTGTCCCACCGGCAAAGATGACAGGCAAGCTCAGCCTTAAACCAGAGTGGAAGCTGCCTACCAAGGAACATTTTAGTGAGGGTGGTCTGGTGCGAGCGAAAACCCTGCACCCATGCTCTTCTTCTGTAATCTATAAATACTCATGGACTCTTTCTTACCACATATTATGGGTTAGTACTTGCTGATGGTTTCATATTTGGCCCAAAGTTTATGTAAATGCAGATGCGAGCCCCACATCACTGCAGTTTGCTGAAAAACCCAAGGATTTTCCAACCATGTTGCCAGTCTGTTAATCCAGCTGCCCTTACGTGGACCCACTCCGTGATTGGTCCCAGATTCGCTGTGGGTCTGGAGGAACCATTTAGCTTTTTCACTGAAATGTTCCCATTGCTGCGAGCAGTGCGACCAGCAGGAAATGGCTGAGAATTGTGACTTTAACAATGCTAATGGACCAATGCCAGACCACGGCTGTTTATTCAACCACACAAAACATTCCTCTGGGTTAATAACCACATACACTGGAAGAGATCCACTGTTTAATGATTTGGTCTGTGAGACGGCACACTATGTGCTTTGTTTGAGGAAAATTTCAAGCAGCTCAACGTGTGGCACCGTACGAAGTTAGGCAACGAAATTTTACACAGTTGAGTTTGTGAGTCCCGTATTCTCAGAGTAGGCAAGACTTTGTAGGAAAATTGGGTGTGTTAGTTTTAACTTGGGTCCTTTTCAGGCAAAGTTTTGCTCAGTGAAGTCTTGAAACCACAGCAGACTGTAGCTTCCTCTTGTCACATCTGTTTTAAAGCGTCGTCATCTGTTGTCCTGCCTCTCAGGCTTCTTTCTACCAGCCCTGCCCATCCTTCCTGGATATGAGGTCACAAGAGCCAAACTAGAACAAAGGATGGGCTCAATCATTCTACCCAAAACATAAATGCTGCAGACTCTCATTTGGGCATTTTTGGCCTTTTAGTTACAAATGTAGAGGGGGAAAATGTTCAATTAAGTAATTTATTTAAATGGGCTGGGGATAAATCTGTCACAGCAGACTGGTTCTAATCTTAGTTTATTTTTCTGTTCTCTTTTATACATGCTTATGGTTACTTATTTTTAGGAACTGAACAACATTATCAGAGCCTTTACTCATGTAAAAGTGTATATGCAGGTGAGGGAGCAGTTTGAAAGAACCTCTTAAATCAAACTGAACATCATTTAATTTATTTCCTGATATCCATTGTGATTAAATTATATTTCCAAAACATCGGTGAATAAGAAATACAAACTAATTGCTTCTGATTAAAGATTAAGTAATTTCTGTTACTCATATTAAAATATTACAATTTTTTTTTTTTTTTTGGTGAGATGTCAGACTGTTTGTGTATATACTGAATTAAAGGAGTACAGCACAAGAAGGTTAGGTGGAAAATTAAGAAAGTGGCATCTGAAATGTGACTTGAGTACAAAGTCCTTTGTTTCCGTTCAAATAGAGCTGCAGACTACTGTCTTCTTCAGACGCAATTTAATAAATTACATTGAAGTAAACTTAACATCAGTTCCTTCTTTATGCTTTTGTTTTTAATGGTCTTGCAGCCCGACTTTTGTGTTTTGTTTTTAGGATAATTTGCTATGTGGCATCCTCTCAGCATCTTTCTGGCTGCATCCTTTCCCCTAATTATCAAATTTGACCTGTTTTAACAGTTCCAGCTGTTATAAATGGCTTCACATTTGCCTTCCTTGAAGTCCTTCTTGTCTTGTACTTGCAGAAAAGTCATTAAAAATGCTAGCTGGCTGAAATTTGCACCTGATTGCTGTTCAGTTTTAATGACCCAGACGTCCCAATTAGCCCTGCTGTGCGTTTGATGCGCAAATCAATTCAATTATCCTCACGTACGCGGAGGGGAAAACTACCAATGATTAATTGTAGTGGCATGAAGTAATCTTGAAGTGCCTCCTGGCCCTGGCACCTGGTGAGCTGGAAGGGACATCTTTGCAGACAGCTGACTCCGGCTCTGGGCTGAAGGAGGGAGGAATGGGTGGGACTGACATCAGCCCACCGCCGACGAACTGCGGAGTTACGACAGATCAGAGAAAGATGTGGAGCCGCAACCGTCTTTGACCGAACGATGAGGAATGGCCACAGTTTCAATGGCATTTGTTGGAAATACGGATGAGCAACTTTGCAGACATTTGCAGCGTGAGCGTTGAACTTCTGACCAACTGCGTGCGTCCAGCGGTGAGTTGCGCTCAAACCAACATCTATAAAATTAGACTAGATTTCTCTTATCGCTATAAACTGCTCTGCGTGTGAATACAGACGTTTACTGTTTGCACCCATCATCAAATATTGCATAATATACCATGTATGGATTAAGTTGAGCCTCACAATTTACGCATGAGCCGAAAAGGAGAAGCACATCTCCTTTTTCGTCTTATCAAGAAAATAGAACTTTGCTTTGATAACCTGATCACCTATACCGTAAAGTGTCTCAATGAAATCACGCACACAACTTTTGCTGCAGCTGAACATAGATTCCGGAGCGTCTTCCCAACTCTGACATCCCCCCCCCCACTCCCTGTCAGGATCTGGTGTTTTGAAGATGAACAGCGTGCTGCTTCTCCACTACAACTACACTGGAAAGCTGGACCACCGGCAGAACGCCGGATCGGGGCCGGGCGCCGTGGACACCCAGACCGTCGTGTTCCTGGTCATTTGCAGCTTCATCGTCCTGGAGAACCTCACCGTGCTGGTGGCCATATGGAGGAACCACAGGTTCCACAACCGCATGTACTTCTTCATCGCCAACCTGGCGCTGTGCGACCTGCTGGCCGGAGTGGCCTACCTGGTCAACCTGCTCCTGTCCGGAGAGAGGTCCCTGCAGCTCTCTCCTGTCCTCTGGTTTGTCAGGGAGGGCAGCTTGATCGTGGCACTCGGTGCCTCCGTCTTCAGTCTCCTGGCCATCGCCATAGAGAGACACCTGACTATGATCAAAATGAGGCCGTACGACGCCAATAAGAACTACAGAGTGTTCCTGCTCATAGGGACCTGCTGGCTGATTGCCATATCTCTCGGAGCTCTACCCATCTTGGGGTGGAACTGCCTGGGCAACCTCCCCGACTGCTCCACGGTCCTTCCTCTGTACAGCAAGAAATATGTGGCTTTCTACATCAGCGTTTTCATGATTTTGCTCTTGGCCATGTCTGTTCTTTATGCCCGCATCTACATCCTGGTCAAGTCCAGCAGTCGAAAGGTAACCAAGCACAGTAATTCCGAGCACGCCATGTCCCTGCTGCGCACCGTCATCATCGTGGTCGGGGTCTTCATTGCGTGCTGGACGCCCATCTTCGTCCTCCTCCTGGTGGACGTGGCGTGCGTGCAGAGCTGCCCCATCCTCTACAAAGCCGACTGGTTCATCGCCGTGGCCGTGCTCAACTCCGCCATGAACCCAGTCATCTATACCCTGGCCAGCCGCGAGATGAGACGGGCCTTTTTGGGTCTGGTTTGTGGCGTCTGCTTCAGGACGAAGTCCTCGGTGAATGGCAGCGGTCACAGGCAGTCGCTGGAGCCCAGCCGCAGCAGGAGCAAGTCGTGGAGCAGCCAGAACAACCCAAACCAGAACCAGCAGAGCTCCAATCAAGCGGAGCTGGAGAGGGGGAAGGAGATGGAGGCAGGCCACGAAGAGGTTTCAGCGGTGGTGGGAGCAAGAAGAGATCCTGCTCAGGATGGAAACATGCAATCATTTGAGGATGAGGGAAGCAAAAATTAATATTTTTTCAAATGAATAAACTGTCCTTAAAAAGATAAATGCAGCTTCGTCAGCTCAAAGGTTTCACCTTTATCTTTAACGTTGATCATTTGCCAGCATTTCCAATTGGCTGGCTCATCTAAATGTCCACACGTGAAACAAATGAGAGCAATTTGGCAAGTGTTTGAGTCAATTTGGCTTCTTTTTTAAACTCAATGAGACCTGATTATCGCCATATACATTTGCAGCTAACTCGAGGATGAACTCTCAACTAAACCATGAACAAAGCTGAAACAGATTGTTCAAGCTGACATTTAGTGGTTACATCAGTTTTGCTGGTTGTCAATGACATATGTAAATATATAGAATTCTTATATTGATAAAAGATAGCCATGGCCATCTAAGATGGATAAAAAGCTCACCTGAAAATATAAAAAAAATGCTATTTCAATACTGCACACTCTAATGAAGAATGTACACAATTGCTAATGTAATGAGACAACTGAATATATTTATTTCTGTGTATTCTCTATTCTGTCTTGTATTTACTCAGTTTTATTGGGCAGTTACTGTAATATGCATTAGTATACTGGAGGTAACTGTGATACATATGAAAATAGAGGATGGACATTTTGTAGCCTAATGACTGCAGAGTCTGATATGTCTGTAGTTTAAACTACCCAAGAGCTTCATCTACTGGACATGTCCGGTACTGCTGCATGTTCAGTACACAAATGTTGCACTCGTGGTGAGTGGGATCTGTTGCATCGCCTATGAGACAACAACGTGAAGTTGATGAGAATCAAAATTACAAAGGCCTCTGAATGCAGCATGTGAAACAGAAGTTTTCAAAAGTTAATCATGCAATTTATGTGATGCAAAATATCAGCTTTGGCAGTACCAAGAAAAAAAAGCAATTTTATAGGCTTAAAAATGATGTTTTTTTTCCGGATCTCATGTGGAAAGCAACTTTGTCAAGAAATCTCAATTTTGTCCAAAAAGTACCAAATCAACTTAAACTGTTAGTCATCCTGATCAAGATGTATATTGTTCTGTTTACAATCTCCCACCTTATTTTCTGCAGACGTCAATGCAAATTTAACTTATTTGCATAGATATTCGTATCACAGTTTCACCAGAAAAGGGAAATGTCCAAAGCATCAGCTTAACCTCAAATATTCAAGCATATGCAAACAGAGAGGGACTAACCCTACGCCCATCCTCTTTTTCTGCAATAGATACTCTTGGACTCAAATTTTTTACATTGCAAAGACATTTTTATACAAAGCAAACACCCATCAACATGACACTGTAGAAAAAGGTGTTACTGTGAACCCTGTCACCCGTCTGAAAAATGGCAGCCTAATTATATTATGTCATTACTGTTTACATGAGAAAGTATTCTTGTTTTTTGTTTTGTTTTTAAACATTGGCACTTCGTAACTTGTCGTTTTGGTGGCTTTGATATTTTCAGTGGTGGAAAGAAAGACAAATTAAGGATTTTGAGTAAATTAAAAGCTTGCAGGTAATCCACTGCCTGGTACTGTTTTTTTTTTTTAGTTGCCTTGAGAATGCATTTGAATGCTTTGGATGAATCAATAAATGTACCAAAGTGATTGAATAAAGCTATCAATGGTCTCTTTACAGCAGTTGAGCATTTATTTATTATTTATATTTTGAAATATCTTATATCTATATATATTTATTTGGTTGACAAAACGGCTTATTTAGCCATTCCTTAAATTCTGGTTGCGAATCAAATAATGTGTGTTTTACAACATGTAATGGTAACTATTCTTATAGAATGCTGCCGCTAGCAGTTGTCTTGATGAACTGATCTGGGGATGGCTCAGAGCAGAGTTTTCTTTACATAACAAGCAAGAGTTCAGTTCATCAATGTTGTGTGGAAGGGATAGATATTTCAAAGATAGCCATAACAGAGTGTGAAGTAAAGGTATCTGATCATCATTTAAAACTCCACGTAACATGACCTGAAAAGTCAACTAAAGCACAGAGAATTCGACACAGTCACAAATTTATTGCCAACAGTCATACAGAATAATGATAAACCCATACAACCAAAGATTAAATTTGTAAACATCATTTGGACTTGTTTTTTTTTCTTCCTTTTTTCCAATTTACCTGTCCCAAAATAGTGAGTTTCTGTGTGATTCTCTCTGACAAAGATTTATATTTATAATCTGGAAATGATACACTTATAATACTTAATAATAGAGGGAGGGATGGAAAGAGACAAAGATATATAGAGAAAAAGTAGTCTCAAGCAGCAACACGCAGCAGGGCAAAACATTACCTCTAATGAACAGGCATGCCCCATTGAAGATCAGCTATTGCACTTTGAAGGGGAAAAGAAAGAAAAAAGTAAACCACCATCTGTACAAATAAAAGGCACATTTTCATCAACAGAAATCTGGAAAGACGCCATGTTCTTAGTGGTGTTCCAATGTGGTTGTGTCATTTCTTTATGTCACGAAGCTAATTATCATGTTATCAGACAGATTCAAGTATGGAGTCTTTTCTGTTATATAAGTGATTCTACAAATTCAGTATTAACAAATAAAAACTCAATTTAATTTCTATTATTGGAGCTTCTTAAAAATTGACCCCATAATTCCTTCTTGCTTGTAATTGATGAAATCATGTCACAAACACTGCAAACATAAAAGATGGGTGAGTGTTCCAGAATATTCCCAGTGATCCTTTTTGGCCAAAAGTATAGTGAGATGCATGTAGTGTACACACCCTCTTGCAGCAAAACACAGGCACGCTATATTACATTGCATCTGTCTTGTCGAAATAATTGAACACATGCTGATTTTGGTTCAACTGAAGTGGTCCAGTGCATATCAAACACAATGCCCCATTCATTTGGTATCCATCACAATAGTGAGCATGAGAGCATTAAGAAGAGGCTGAACCCAGAACTGTTGTGGACGGTTTCTATTAGCCATATCAAAATGTGGTTTCTCAACAAAAACAATCATTATGAACTAAGAGAGCTATAAAATGTGTTCACTGTGTTAAGAAAACTGAGGTGACTGACAGGGTAGAGAGACGGTGCTCCGATGACACCTAGTGGCTAAAGAGCAGTCATGCCATAATAAGACACCGTAGAAACATGAGAAAAAAATGCAGGTAAACCTTTTGTATTGAGTGCAAATGCAAGTTTTTTTCCACTTAGGTCTCAACACGGTGATAATCCATCCTGTGTACTACTGACATGGGTGATGGAATTTTCTGATTGTGCTATTCATTTGTGATCGTTCAAATAAATAGGATGAAACTTCTGAAAAGCTCAATAAAAAGCTGAAAGTGTTCATTAAAAATGTGAGGATATCCACTGCATGACTCGAGCACCAAAACTAATCACCAGCTACACACCTAAAAGAATTAAGAAGAAACCAATTCAGAAATAATCACTGGTTTAAAAGCATAAATATTTTTACAGTGTCAGCATACACAAGCACCTCTTTCAAATAAAGTGGTATCAAGGTCTACGAACATGGCCACAAGAATAGTTGATTTTAAGTCATGCGACTGCAGTGACACGAGAAATTACTTAATAAAAAAGTTGATTCTTAAAGCCATTGACAGCACGATGAAGGGTGTCTGCACCCTGACACTTTGTGACAACTGCAAAGCAAGACACATTCAGTTCTAATCTCCAATAAAAGCAGGTTTCATATAGTGACTAATTTAGTAAGCTGTCACACTAATGGTGAGTTTAAAGAATTTTCCTTATTGAAATTCATCTCTTTTTCTTCAGCCTCTTTGCCAAGAGTTCCTGCAGAAACATGGTTGTGCTTGACAGACAAAACTAAAATTTGAGATTCTTTTCTAAAATATTCTTGATAACACCTCTTTGAGGTTGGATTTGCACTTAATCTAAACTACAAGAACAACTGCATTATTTTTATATTTTAAAACACCAAATCAAGATATCATGTCCAAATGCACCTATTTCTTCTCAAAAATATAGCATTTCAGTCATCACAACAAAATAATAACAGTTCTATAAATATTCTTTTTATCTTAAACAAATCTTGCGTCTTCCAGTGACTCCAGTAAAGCAGGTCAGCACATCAAGCCTTTAGGGGTCTTCTCATGTTTCATACTGAGCCCGTTCAGAGCGTCCAGTTTCCTGTCAGGGATTCCAAGCATCACTGTTTCCTTACAACAGGCTCTAGGAGACAAAGTTCACTTCCGGCTGACACTATGGGCAGATTGTTGTCACGGTGATGGCCAATAAGGTGGCTAATGCTGTCAAACACATGGTCTTTTGTCCGTACCTTTGAACAGAGGAAAACAATGATCAAAATTCTGTTTTGATCCGAATGGGTTCATTTATGTCTATTTTGAAAAAAAGAAAAACACTAAACGTGTGCTTTCTTACCGAGCCCTCAGGGTCTACCAGCAGCAGGTGTTTAGCCAGCCCATTGTGCATGCCTGTCAGTACATAGGACCCTGGATTGGTCGTGCTCTTACGGACGAGAAAGTCCCCATCATCTTTCAGCAGTTTTTCAGCATCTCGGCGGCTCATTTTGCCATGATACCATGTCTGACCTTCCAACTCCTCCTGTGCACGGAAGGCCAGTGATCGCACAAGAAGGGGGCTGGAGTTGTCCACAGATGCTGCCTTGTGAAGATTGGACACCTGGGACTGGGATTGCCCCTGAGATGGTGGCTGGGACTGAGACTGAATGGCATCCTCAAAGGGCTCTGGTATGAAAGATGGCAATGCCAGAAAATGAAGACTTAAAACATGAACATGCATATAGCTAATCAAAACCATCTGTGAAATAACAAAGCTAAATAGAACAGTTTGCTAGTTGGGATTAACTGTGAATCTTCCACAAACCAGCAAAGAGGTCAAACCTACATCTGCATGCCCTAAACCTGATTCGTGATTTTACATGAGATCAGCTTTTATACAGCATTTGTGTCTGTGTCGCTCTGCACTTTATCTGCTAAAATGCTTATCTTTAACAAGGTTTCTGTGCCATAGTCATTTTTTATGCATTCCAAAGTATGGTGAAGACCTTGGAGCTAACAGTTACTTGCACAGTAATTTGTGCAAAATAGAAAAAAGAGAATTTGCCTGAGGGAATAATCATTGAAACATTTGAGTTTAGAAACAGACTGGCAGAGCAGTAAAAATGAAAAAGAAAACCATGACAACATACACTTACACAGGAAGAATACATTTATATTGATGAAACATTCATAATTTAAAGTATTGATATGTAGATAATGACATGGTTTCAGCATTCATTGGTGGAAATATCATAAGTCAAAGAACTCCTAAAAATGTCTCTGTCTAATCAAAGAATAGAAAAAGGAGTATTGCTTTGAATTTCTTTTTCTAAAATAGAAAAAATCTATCACATTATGTTGTCCTTGGTCATGTGTAATATTCAGTCCTCAGACACACGTTTAATAGGTATATAATTATATACCTGATCAATGTACAATAATAGTAGAGCCAAAGCTGGAGTTTAAAGGCATACAGTCACAGTAACAGTTTCCTCTTATCTTAATGGTGACATGATATAATTATAAGGACTAACTGAGGTAGAAAAAAACTAAAGCTAAGGAACCGGTATAATTAAAAACTTTACTTTTAAAACCGTATAACAAAGCAAGGGTACAGAATTGTTTAAAAAACTTTTACTTAAACGTATTTAAAACATCTGTTATATTGCAAAACTATCAGGGCATCTAAATAATCCATTTAAAGCAAGTATCGACAGTAAAAATGAACACTGAACACAGACAAATTGAGTCTTACTCATGTCAAACAGGTCCTTCTGTGGGCTCTCTTTGGTGGCGGCTGCCATGCCCTTTGTCACGTTTTCTGCTTCAGCCTGGAGTGCTGCAAGCACCTGGGCATCAATCTGCTGCGTGTTCACATACATTGGCATCTCTTCTGTTTTTGGTACATGACCTTTACTCTCAGGTAGACCACTTATATCAAATGAACCTAAGAAATGTGAAAAGAATCTCAGTTTACTGGATGAAATAAAAAATGCAAAACTCAAATCTCATACATGGGAAATTATGTTCTTACCCTGTTGCAAAAAGATTGCCTTTCTTTCATCCGCCCAGTTTTCACAATGTCTCCCCTGGTAATATGTGGGATCCACTGAGCCTGGACCCACCTGCTGACATGCAGAAACAGTGTAATTATGATGTTTCTCAATGAAAAACGCTTCATGAAGACATCTGCACTTTCATGAAGACATCGGCAGATGCAAAAGGATCCTTTCGTGTACAAGGGAAAACTTAAACTAAATTTTACATTTCTGCTTGAATTATAATGTAATCGTGTGAATTATCTATGTACAAACCTACTGAGATAGTTACTATAGTAACACTTGAACCCATCAACCCATGACCATCAAGTTTTTTCCATAACCAGACATTCAAGTATTTTCTAACATATAAATGTATGTATCTATTACATTTAACAAAAGTATACTGACAAGCACTAACATGAAGATTTAATAAATGGAAATGTCATTAACCTAATCAATAATCTGATCATATTAGTGCTAAACATACATATAATAAACTATTTCAGTAGTCCTGTTTGCTGCATTATGTATCAGCAAAAAGGGTTGAAGGGTTTACTGTTTGTCTTTCAGAATGTTTCACACCATTTTACTGAGTTTTAAGATGAGTAATACCTGGCACCCATCTGATGCTGAATTCTGACTGGTCAGTCGGGTGTCAATAAAGCCTCCAGGAGGTGGCATTTTGCCTGGGATGTTGTTGTAATAAGGATGTTCTGTTGATTCCTCCTCTTCTTCTGTCCATGTCAACTCTTCCATGTTTAAAACCCTGAAAAGAAAACGTGTCTGTCAACAACTGAAAGCATTAAGGCTGTAATGAAATTGCAAAGAATACCCTCAACTTAAAAGCTGTCAAAACCAAAGGTGATGCAAGACATTGCAATCGAAATCAGTGTGAGTATATATTTTAAGGACCTAGTTTTGTTCAAATATATAATGTCTTCTTTGCAAGGTATTCAGTGAAATACTGAATTAGCTTCTGTTTTTTACGTTTTGCACAGTGTCCAACATTGTTTTTAGAAACTAGGATGACTGTATATCATGAGCAGCCCACCTATCGTGTGTGGAGGGCAGCTTGCTTGAGGGACACTGCAGGTACTGCTGGAAACGAAGGTCAAAAGCCTGGCCAATGGTACTGATGACGTCCTGGGCCAGTCCATCGGAGCACTCGAGGATGTGACAAGCTGATTTGTGTAAGACCATCTCATTAATGTGCATATTACATTTCCGATACAATACTGAAAACTGAGGAAATTCATTCTCACCTCTTCTGTTAACAGGGTCTTTTGCTACATAGGCCACAAAATCTGTTGTGTCCTGTAATAGAACACAATTTGTGAAATATAAAAAAATATTTTAAAAAATTCTGAATCAGACATTTAGACTTTAGTGCCATCAACTGATCTGATGTAATATTTTTTATAATTTTAATTGAAAAATGTATGCTGGTAAAGTGTCAGTAATGCTTACAGGGTCTCCGCCTGATGCAAAGGAGATGGACTGCATGTGATGGTTGGCTATGATCTATTAGCAAGAAAAACAAATAAATCAACTAATGCATTGACACGTGCAGTCAATACAGAACACACATACAATAAATGTTGGAGTAAATTTAAACCAATGCATCATAGTTGTATAGCTCATTGTATTAATGTGTACAAATTTGTATTAGAAATTAAATAATTTGAACGGTTTCTTGGGGACATACTGTTTATCAGTATTCTGAAAAACACAGTTCACTTGTATTTTCATGGTTGAGAGCTGCATTTTGTTTACCCAACTAAAATGTCTTCCTTGTTTATCTTGATGATTAGATAAATGACTAATATTTCACATGAAAAATGCCAGAACAGCTTAAGGGAAGTTGCAACACATTGTTTCTCAAACTTGGTTACAAACTATTGCAACTGTACTGGTTTCTCAGATCCTAATGACTTCTCTGGACTTCAAGGGGAAGTGATACATGCTGTGACTTCACATTCTGACTGCTACAGATTAGTATTTTCCGTCTCACTAAAATGCATTAGAATCTGGCTCCTTGTTAATCTGTGAATATAATCAAATTACCTGAATTACATATCAGACTAAAAGGGCAATCTTGCAGTTAAAGGAAAGTAACTCATTTCAGATGTAAGATGTCAATAGATAGATTAGAACCTAACCTTAAAAAAAATCCTTCCTTTGACATAAATGTCTTTGGTAGAGAAATAAAAAATACTACAGTTTATAGCAGCATCGTTTTCAGATGAGTGAGCCATCTAAAACCACCAAATTATTTTTTTTAACTTTCTGCCTTAGGAGTATCAGTGGGATCATTTGTTATTAGATGCGTCATGACCATTTAGAAAGGTTGAACACTGACCTGTTTGCAATCAGGGGTCATCAGGTTGAGGCTACTGGTGGAGATATTTAAGTTGATGGACATACCAGCAAACTGTAGATTACTCTTGCCCAGGATGCTGGACAGAGCTTTGGACGCTGGCTGAAAGAACCACAGAAAGAAACATGATACATGTCAGAGGTGTATGGCTTGAAAAATTGTTTCCATATTTATAAAAAAGCCTGTACTGCAGCAAGTCCATTAGTAGAAATATATAGCTGTGTGACACTGGCTTAAAAAGGCAAACAATAATACCAACAATAGGTTTGATGCTTGCTAAGCAGCTGGCTGCACCCTACTTTCTCTTCAACCTCTCAAAAATCCTCTGTGCTGTCCACAATCTTAAAAGTGTTTTCTACATTAGGAAACCCAGACAATGGAATAATCTGTTGCATTTTTCCATATCATTTGTTAAATGCACAGTAAAACTATACTGCCTAAAACTAGCCTCACTAAATGTTGATTTGGATTCCAAGCCATTTGTGTCATAGTAAACCGAGCTTCAGTAAGACAACTGGACTTCACCTTTCTCAAAGAAGAATTCCGTTTCCCTTCATTAAAAGCTCCTAGGATTAAGATTATTAAAGTAAACCAGTAAGTATTGGCTAAACATAGTCTCCCTCTGTCAGATCACTGTCAACAGAATTCTGTCAAAGGCAAAGAATGGCTGGCTTCAAAGCTTTGCTATTTTGTTTTAAATACCGTGTCAGCATTTTTTTAAAGAAGCACTTGTCTTTCGCAACGCAATGCTAAGTAAGGGCTAAGATGAATTGAAAGAGTACTTTGGGAAGTTGTTTCGGTGTAGAAGACTTTTAAAACAGTAGAATGCAAAGGGGAAGGGAATCGCATGCATACTAGGCGGAAGTCCTATGTGAAAGTGGTTTGTGTATTAAAATTACAAGCAGCAAACTAAATAACGGAAGTTCCCAATCCTGTAAGGATGAGCAATGAGGCGCTAGAATCTGAAATCATGGGATCCAGGTCGTTGCATTTTCATTGACTACTTAAAAAATAAATGAATAACAAACCCCTCAATATGTTCTTTTGTTGACAGATTTTTTCCTTATTTATTTTACACAGTGTTACTGCAACACATACAGTTTCAAATGATTAAAAAAGCTGCATCACCAGAAAGTCTGAGGCCCTTTATTCTTAATGAATTACATAGCAGATAACGATTACATAAATAGGATGTTTTGATGTGCTGATCACTGAAAACCTCTAAAAAAGTTTTATACATTGAGCTTCATTTCTAAAGTGTCAGCTGTCATGCTTTTGTCACAATCAGTCCCACATTTGTCGTGTTCCACTTGACTGGACACTCTTACAATATTTTTTGTGTTATTTCATTATTGACTGGTGGAGACACAAAAGAGAACTCCCTCCCACCAGTCTTTGTAAAGAACTTTGTCCACATGCTCATGAAGAATACCGAGCTTTCATTTTCTCCCCGTCTGTCTATCTTCACAGTTTACTGAATGAATAAAATGTAATCAAAAACTCGGGAAAGGTTCTATTAAAATACAAAGCCAACATTTTTAGAAACTCATGAAGCACCAGAATCACCTGATTTGATCATTTTATGGATGTATTAGAAATCAGTAGTTTAACATTCACACTAATTATCTTTTGGCCAGTGAACACTTAAAACGCTGTTAGTGAAAAAGGACTCAGGAGGCCATATAAAAATAGCCAAGGCAATTTAACATTCTCTGTATGAAGCTGATGACACCACAGCGAGTTTGAGAAACGGAGAAAATGACATCATCCCAAATCATACATCCATTCAGAAAAACTAATCAGGGCTGCTTTTTGTGTTGTATACTCTTCGCTGACATTTCAACAAGCTCTGCATAATGGAGTAATGTTTCATTTCACACCCTCACATGTTGTGGACACGCACCATGCGAACACAGAAGCAGAATACACACATTCACTCACACATCCATGTATGCACACACACACACCGGCCCAGCATCCTGATCACAGACATTGTGAACTACATGAGTCACTAAGCACTGTGTGCAGTGTGCAGTGCATCGTGGGCTGGAGCTACACCCACGTTCATACAGAACCATACCTCTTCATCTCGCTCCTCTGCCTCTCTTTTTACATACAGGAAGGAGGAAGGAAAAGGAAAGAGAGGGGATGCTATATATAGATCATGGGAGGATAAATTAATATCTGATGCCGTTTTCTTTTTGCAACCAACTGTACATTTACACATTTCTCCTCTGATCATTCCGTCGTTGTGCCCCTCTATTCTTTCTCTTGCCATCCATTCCACCAATCCTTTTTTTTTTAATATGATTTATTTCCAAACATTTGCGTACCTTTCTCTTCCGTAGTGCTCCTTTGGTCCCGGGTACAGCTTCACATACCAGACTGATGGCTTCTCTAGAGAAAGGGCAAGAGTATGATGATAATGAGAACCGCAAAATTAGTTATTTCAACATTAAGTTGGACTGTCTTTGCATTTTGTTTGACAGAGCAAAGCAAAGATATCACATCCAGGTTGTAGTCAACTGGTGAGTACAAAATACAAGAGAGTTTTAATAATAAATCCCACAATCCAACTGATTACAAACTATGTTATCTCAGGTGAATAATTCTGGAATGTACCTTAAAATACATTGAAACATTGTCCTTCAAACCAAAAAACAAAGACACAAAATTCTGAGGTACATTATTTTGGATTTTTAAAGATAGGCTAAAAAACACACGTAGTTAAGACTATCATCTGCAAGCAAATATGCAAACAGCACTACTTGTCTTTGAACCTTATTGAATGACTGGTCATTAAATGTTGTGGAATATTTTCAAATGATGAAACGTGATATGAGGGATGTTTTTTTTGTGGTTTTAGTGGGATTTTCATCATCTACTTTTGCAGGTCAGATAAGTTATGAACGTTGACAAAAATATGCTGAAGGCATGACAGGCTGTTACATAATTTCAGATGGCCTTTTATAATTCGATGTGCCAACTTTGTAGGGCATTTGCATCGTGCAACACAATGCAAATAGAAATGCACTCAACCTTTGGAAAGCATTTAGTTGTTTTGTATGTATAAGACTATACACTACAGAAGGAACACTAAAACTGCCTTCAAGATGTAAGCTATTTTCAGCTTGCACCATGTTATGATTTTTTAAGAGATAACAAGTGTCTATGAAAGAGCTGTTGCTTGGATGGGAAAAAAGTCAAATTCCCCATTGAAACTAATCTAATACTGATTTCATGTCAGAAAAGTTACTTTCTGCATTCTAAGTTCTTTTTTGACAATAAAATACTTTCTCTTTCATCACTGCAGTGTCTCTGTCATTGTTCTCTGTACTAGAGCAAAACTTAAACACGCACAACAGTGAGAAAGAGCATGCTCCTACTGCTGTGTAGCTTTTCCAGCTAATGATACCAACTTCAGGAAGTCAAGCAGAAAAGTGGACATGACACAAAATGATTCACTGCTGGCCTTTGCCTCACTGCACATCAGTCAATCGTTTCAGAGATACTTTTGGAGTCGGAGAAAATTCAATGCAAGCGTGTGATAAATACACATTCACATGCACTCTCTAAAACAATCTCTTAAAAATATTATTTTCCATTAACATTTTGCATGTTTATATGTGCTTTATGTGATATAAATGAAGCTTAAAAGTCAATTACATAGAAAAGACTATAAAGGTTTTCCATATATTGTTGGTAAAAATCAATGATCTTCCCTGATGATTCGAAATGACTAACAAGTCCAATTCATAACACAGCAGTCAATTGAATATGCCTCTCTATTAATATCTCCTTTCTCTTCTCATTGCACATTTTTCTGTCAGCTGTTTTTGTGGGTGCTCTTATGGACTACTTTCTAACACAATGCAGTCACTGAGTCACTGTCAGCCACTGAGTCACTTCAATCAGCGTGTGTCATTGCTGCAATACACAACAAGATTTTCAGACAGAGACAAAGGTGGCTGCACAGCAGAGTTTACAACAGCGAAAGGTGCCAGTGAGAAATTTAACAAGCAAAATGAGATCTCCAAGATCTCTACAACACAAAACATCTATTTGCGTGAATTTACATTAATAAAAACATGGTTAGAGATATTTCATTTCTGACGATAGGCCATCTCCAAATGTTTCCCATTTGAACTTTACAGAGGTATTTTAAACATGACAACGACAACAAACAGCAAAAATAAATAAATATTTCTTAAATGTCAAAAAATAATTTTAAAGACATTAACAACAGAAGACTGGACCACAGTTTATCCTCCAGAGTTAGCCAGCACAGGTATTTGGATAAGGAAAAAAATATGTAAGAGTAATCAGTGTATACCGTTTACCAGGCTAACATGCAGCCACTGGTCAGCAGCTTAAAAGTGTGTCTTTAAAGTCCTAAATCGATTGAATTCTGGTAGGACATCAACAGTATGCACAAACGTACCTTGTTATTTGAGACCTTGTGGTAAAATCCAGGGATCTCATTGATCGCAGGACCTCAATGCAGCCTAGATACTGCAATACAATAATGAAGAGCAAAAAGAAAGGATGAAAATGAAAGTTAGTCAAACCTTCCTGTAGATATCAAATCACTACACAAAATTAACTGAATGGATGTCGGGGGCTTCTTTATAGTCTAGACTCATTTTAGAATTTTTTCTTAAGTTGATAAACAAGTTTTGATTCTTTCAACCTGTAATCAGAGTAATTCTGTTCAAATCTGGCATAATTGTTGAAATATGAACAAGAATTGTATCGTTTAATTATAATCCTTTAACCACAAAGTCATTTGAATGCTCTAAAAATCTTGTCATCTTGCTCATATAATATTTTCTTATGTGTTCTTTCTCTCTTATGTTTTCATACAATTTACTCTTGCCAGACTAGTCCTCCTGTGCTATAAATGTATCTCCACTACCAGTGAGAAACTCACAGTACAGATGTCTACTGTTTTCTGATTAATATCACACAAGAACATTATGTGCTGACAAGTTCCTATCATTCGCAGAATCACATTCATAATCTGGCAGTAAACCAAACAAGCATCCAGACGCTCCAAGGTTTCCACTCTTCTTCAAAAATAGAACAAACATATTACAATCATATTTCATTTTAAGGCTTCTTGACACACCAGAAAGAAATGTTCAGCTTCTGGCAAATAAATACAGTTTTTATCAAAAATGGCATTTAGAGATATTCCATGTCAGCTATTTTTAGAACAATAAATGTGAAGAGCACAATCCACCAGGGATGACACTGTATCAAAAGATTCTAAAATTGGTATATCTATTGTGAGATCAAGACATTTCCTCTGTCACATTGAAAAACAAACATACACAAGCTTTGCAACATAACATAAAGCTCTATCATATAATATTAGTAAAGTATTAACCATTAATAATAATAAACAACCCAAGTAAACAGGACAATAAATCAGATATTGCACCAAAAGAAATAGAGGCCCAAAAGGCAACAAATTATGTACTAGACTTCTGATATTTGAAATGTTGTTCTAATATATATAAATCATGTATACCAGCGCAATGTTTATGGAAAAAAAATCCTGCTCTGAATACATAAAGATGTGCCCCTTACCTATGAACTGGTTGTGATATTAGAACAGGTATTGTAAGAAAACAAAAACCAAGTTTGCTGTGTTTGAGTGAATACATTTCAACTTGAAAAAAACCCTATCACAGAATGTCGCATTAAGCGAGCCATTCAGGTTTTCAGGGGACAGCTGTACATGTTTATATGCTTTCCTTGCCTGTTATCACCTAACTTCAAATTTAGGCAATGCTGCATTCCCTGTTTTCTCAGATGGTGGGTCATTCCAAGTCTTGCTTTTTTGCTTTCCATTTGCTCAACAATAAAACCTGATACTTTGTTACGTACAAAGCTAATTAATTAGTGAGCTTATAATTTTCTACCTGTTCTTCACTTATTTCTATGCTTAAAGAGGGCCAAACAGTGCTCATACAAGTTAGCAATTTTGAATGTTGGATGCTAAAAGCACAAAGTAAATGAGTAATGTGTTTACAGACATATATGAGAGGAATTATTATTCAAGTTGTCAGTGATATTATCAGCAAACTCAAAAGACGCATAACAATATAGTGCTTATAAGAACCATCAGTTACCGACCAGCTGCCCATGATCCAAGTGCAATTAAGGGAAATGTAAGTATTGTAAATAAAGGTGCCAGTCAGGTATGTTTATGTCGGTTTGGATTGTAGTCTGTGGTCTCAGGCTATTTGCTGTATGCTCTCATACCATAATAAGCATTCCATGGGTTACTGAGTAGATCTCAACGATAGAGAGAAGTGGAGTTGGGGGAAAAGGGTCACTCCACACCCAAAAATGATCCACTTGCATAGAGGTGCAAATTGTAGAGAAAAGGTAGGCTGTTCTGTCTCTGTGTTATTCTGACCAAAACATGTATTCGGAGTATTAAGAATATCTGTGTATTTTTGTGAAAGAGGAGGAAAAACGAGTGTCTTTCATAATTAAACATATATGACTAAGATCAAACAAATGGCTCCATTACATGAGGTGCTGTTAATTTTGCGATACCCCAGCATGTACACAAAAAGATAAAGTGGGTGAAGTAAGTTTACAAAACCACATGCATTTGTATGTTGTTTGCATCCATTGTGTCCAGAGGCACAACAAAGAAAAAAACAAATAAAGCCTGGCGAAGAGTTAGGCTAAAAAATGCCAAAGAATGCCAGTGAATGTTCTGGTTTAGTTTCTTTAAATTAACAAAGTGATAATGGATTAAAATGTGAAAGTAAACAATGTCAGTGTCTGTCGATGTCCCTTTAGAGTAATGGTGCATGATGTGTGGGGAGTGACACTAATTAAAAGTGCTGTGAGCAGAAACACAGTGCTGAACTCAATACATGCAGGACAGAAACCAAAAGAAAAGCAGGGGGTGGGGGAAAGCAGACTGGACCCATTTTCCCTCTCACAGTTTGGACGCTTTCAGCAGCATTGACCGGACAAATAAGCGCTCTCTGCCTTAATGCGGTTAATGGAATGTCATGCTGGTCACACATACTGTGGACTTTATTCTGGCATGTAGAAGTAGGTGTCATATGATGGCAAACATTCTGTGTAACTTGATTTGAAAAGAACATGTTTTGACTGGCAATGTTGTTCTATGTCCATTCTTATCCAAGAACTAAATGTAGGTTTTTTGCTCAATATGTGGCATTAATAAGTCACAAAAATATATTCAGTCAAACAGTAGAATGACTGTGGAAAACGGCTAGTCTCTAACACCTTGAAGAGCCAGGGCTCAGCATTATCACCCTCTATGCCAGTGACTCATTGCTGGCAAGATGACATTTGCAGCTCTTTCAGTTGTGCATCAACTTAAATGGTATATGATGGCTGAACCATGTTAAGAAGAGGCTCAGCTGTGATGAGACAAACATGCACTGCTTGTCTTTTCTCATTCAAGCATTTCAGGGAGCCAAAACAGCCATAGAGCTCGGAGAGGTGCACAATGTACAGAAATAACACATCACCATGGTTACAAAAGCAAAACGCCGTAGCTCTACATCCACATGACAGAAATACCACAAAAACTGAAATGTTTGCGACACATTTCAACCTCTGTTTGTATGTTGCCACCCAAGCTTTGTCTCTACTTTCCCCTCGTGTTGACCTTCTCCATTTCCTGAATTATTCAATGTCTGCTTTCTGGTTGCTGCTCTTTCGCTCAACCTTCTGTTCTAGCCAGCCTACATACACCCACTCAAGGGCATGTTGTGATGCGGGATTGAAAGTAAATCACCCCCGTTTTATGCTCCTTGCAGGTAGCTACACTGTTATCAATGAAAGTAAACAGTGAATGGTTATTTTTCAGATGAAAGACAAGAGAGAAAGTCACCAACCTTCACAATGTACGTGACTCCTGGACCAGATATCTTGTCACTGGAGTGTAGCCATCCTCGGGATGGTTTGTTCACCGGTCCACCACCTCCACCTGGATGCCAGTCCTCTCCGCTAGGCTGGTGTTCGTCCAGCCTGCTCTTCTTGCTCATGCTGACAGCCGGCTCCAGCTGCGAGCAGGGGGCTGAATGGGAGACTGAGCAGCAGTGAGAGCCTCCCACACCAGAGGCTGCTGCCGTCGCTGTACTGAGGCTCGTGCCACCGGCGCTGGCTGAGCCTGATCCCCCACCCCCTTGCAGCTTAGACACAGCCAGGTCCTTGACGGCCGAGGGCAGACCCTTGATGCCGAGCAGGCTGCTCGAGTTGCTGAATTTCAGGCTGGACACCTTGTTGATAAGCGTGCAGAGGGTGGTGCCTCCATCTTCCAGGTGGTCAGGACCGTGGCTAGTGGGGGTGTTGGAGGGAGCGGTGGTGGAGGAGGGCTGGACCTCCGTCGGGGGCAAATAAGATGTCTCGGCTGCAGACTGGGGGGTGGCCGAGACCTTGGGGTTCATGGACAGGCCTTGGAGAAGCTCATCGACAGATGTTACTGACTCATTCCTGAAGCGGTTGTACTTGGTACGGTGAAGCATACCCTTCTCTCTCTCGCTCTCTTCCCTCTCTCCACCAACCAACATGCACAGCCAGCCTCCTTCACAAGCGTGCAGGCAGACGGGGCTGAGCCGCACTGATTGCCCTCTCCTGTAACATAGCAGCAGCGGCACAGGCAGCAAACGCCTCTCAGCAATCACAAGCCACCTGACTGTAATTTTTTTCTATTGAGATTACAGTGGTGGTTGTGCTAGGCTTCTGCTGCTGTTGCTAAAGTCCGATTTGCTGTCAGTGAAATCCAGAATTGCAATCCAATCCGTCAGAGAGACACAATCCATGGAAACCCAACACTGAGGCAGAGGAAGAGGAGGATAAAAGGCTACCAATGTAGGCAGCTTTTCCAGTGGTGATGCTGCTGCTCGTGCTTGTGATTTCTTGGCAAAAAATCCAAAAGTAAAAGAGCAAAAAAAATATTTTTTCCGCTGTTGGTCGCAAACACTGCAGGCAAATACTCTGTGCTGACTGCTGCCTGCCGGCTCAGAGCTAAAGCATGACTCACTGATCTGAGAAAACCTTCTCAACAAAAGGCTTGCTGAACACTGCAAATCACTTCCTGTTGGAGGAAGAGAGAGAGGGAGAGAAAAAAAACCTCCCACTTACAGCACTCTAGAACCAATCAATTTTTAGATTCCCTAGACTCATATTTATTCTCAATAACCCTTTCCTCCTTATTTGCTTTTCTGTGAAAGGAAATGCAAATTGAGAGGAAGCTTCACTGATAAACAAAAATAATAGAGAATTTTGTCTTAATTTATGTATAAAAACAACTAATGTCATAAAACTGATGATGTCACACAACAATTAATGACAGAAACCAAGACACGAGTACAAATCGTGTAAGCTATCGTCCATTTAAATAACAACAATACAATTGAACCGACTAATAAAATCTTTTTAAAGAAGTCAAGTAAAATATCTGGCAAAATATAGAAAATCCTGTATTCAAATCAATATCAAAGATGGAATTTTAAAGAATTCAAATAAATTATCTAAAGCAACAACACAATCATAAACATCTAGCATGACTGAAAATATATTCAATGCCTTCCCCATGTTTTCTTATAATCGCAGCACACATCAGCCAGGTTTGTGTCATCCAAGATCTACAAGTACTTAATGCACATGTCTCTCTATCATATCTATAATTGTGTAATAATTCTCAGGAGAGGAAAGCAGCCTCTAACATTTTTCATCATAAATACACGTTTTGACAAAATCTGACTCATGTGTAGTGCAAAATATTCTAGCAGTATTTTACGCCAAACGACTTTAAATTTATCACCAACAATTTTATCTGATTTCCAAAAACCAATAAACAGTAACACGCAAATAACCAGCAAATACTGATCCTGGTTGACCTGCATGAATGATGCAAATGATAAGTAAAAATTAGTAAAAACAAGAAACTACATGATTCCCTGGCTGAAAAATCAAAGGATTAGACAAAAGGGTGGCAAAAAAAGCCCAAGAATCATCCTTAAAACCAGAGGCAATGCCGCATCCTTGTCTCTCCAATAGCAGAAAGCACGCATTCATATAAAATGTCCACAAGAGCATCTAGCAACGCTGAAAGACTGACACTCATTCATAAGCAGCTTCCGCTCTCACTGTGCTGCAGATTTCGCACTGCAGTCCCTCCCAATATCTCTCTTTCCTGCCTAGCAAGAGAGAGAGAGGAAGAAAAAAACAGACAGCACGTCTGCCTTTTCTCCTCAGAAACAAAGGCAAATACAAAGACAGGGATGACGACGCAGGCGCTTGTAAATCACAAGAAAAGACAAAAAGACAAAAAAGGAAATGATGAGAGGACTAAAAGAAGCGTGCAATGTTTAGTCGTTTATGTGAATGGAATAGCATGCTGGCATACCAGAGTTTCTGTGAATGGAAGCAAGGCCTTTCTGCCTCTGCAAGGCAATCCCTCGGGATGGCATGGTCTTGTCCAATGAGAAGCCAGCAGGATGACTCATTCAGGGGAGGTTTGCAGAATAGTGGAAGAGACCATTGCAGATGAAGGTGGGCATTTTGCTTTATCTAAACTGCCCTTTTAAAATGCTGTAGATTATATTTGGTACTAAATGTTTACCAAATATTATTACAAGTCGATTTGGAAAGCATTATGTAGAAGGAATATTGTGAGCCCCCCTTAAATTTCCCTGTCACCGTTATTGCTATTCTCCCCTCCACGTTCTTGGGAAGTCATCATCAACACATTTCATTAGAAACTGACCACTGATGTCTTTGAGGGCAGCTCACACAAATGCATTGGAACAACAAATATATTCTGAGCTGACAGATATCTGTATACTAAACATTTGCCACTTAATGAAGTATTGATAATAACCATAACATTAATATTAGAAAATAGTTTATAGAAATTTCTGTACTTTCTACTTGGCAAGTTTAAACAGCCTGTTCCATGGAAAACGACTTAATCCGCCATTGCTTCTTTATTGAAAAATGTATCAGACAACATATTTGCATCTGATACACTGATTAAAGAATAATCAGGTATTGACAGACCATTAATATTTATCCTAAACCATAGTTTAATGTTTCTGTAGGAAAAATAAGGTTTCTAAAACGAATAATGAAAATATGATCAGTTGTGAGATATGAACGAGTCCTTGAGAATGGAGATCCATGGGTGCCAGAATTACAATTAGACTATTTAAACAACTTATAGCGTGAATTACAACATAATATACAGTACACCATTTTTGCTTAAATAAAAAGGAACAAAACTGTGTTAGGGTTAGGGTTAGGGTAAGGGTTGGAGCTTATCCCGGAATTTTACTGTTCAGAGCCAGCTAGAAGAGCTATTAATTAATTTTACAAAACAGGTTTCAAAAGCAGATAACAATAAAATGATCTTCAGATCATTTTATTCTTGTGTAAGACTAAATTATAAGGACCCATGATAGTTAAATTAGTTATTTTCTGCTTTTGCACATATAGGCCACAGTGTGGAGCTCTTGCTATTGTCTAAACAAGGATTCATCTGTGAACAGCTCTCAGATCATTTCCATATTATATCTAATAGCTGTGACTCCCTCTTTGTGGTACAGAGATTGAAAATGCATTTAAGTTCACAGACTTATTACTATTCTTGGATCTGCGAGCTGATTTCCTTGTGTTATTATTTTTCAAGCAATATATGTTCAGTACATAAGTTAGATTCACATCAGGTCATCTATTTTAATATTGATTGCAACAACTGAGGATGACTCTTCATTGAATAAAAGGTTATACAACATCTGGTTGATATTGTTTTCAGGCTGAATGAAATTTCACTGTGTCAGTTTTTATACCTTTCATCAATGGGTCTATTTGTGACCATCCATAACATGGTAGCCTGTGGTTATGCAAGCATTTACCCTGCCTCTTGGGATTTCAGTTAAACAATACAGTGAATGGCAGATGGAGACAGTGTTGATGGCCTGCTCAAAGGTACTGGTGTATAAATTCACTGTGTAGAAAATAACATCCTCAGCCTTGAGAGCTGATGTCCATAACTGTGTGATGCATCAATTGTGCTTTTTGTGAATGGTTCTTTTAAAAGCAACAGAATCACATTAGGACTGCTCCGGCTGAGTGGGGTTATGTGTGAAACTCAACTAAGGTTTTAACCTCATACTGTATACAGCAATATGAATAAATAAAACACATATAATGGGTTATGTGACAATTTCACTGGAGAAGTATACATTTGTAGAAGTATTCATACTGTTGATGTATATACTTGAAGGTACTTTCAAAATATTTGCTTGTGACTGGATGAGGTCCATCAAAGGCACTAGTAAACTTCAACAAGTCAAATTATCAGTACAAGACAGTGATTGATCATAACTTTTGTCTCTGTCCAAACAGAGTTGAAAGGCCTGGCAAGAGGGTATCTCTAATTATTGTGATCTCTCAAATCATATGAGAATGAAGCTGCTTACCACTCTAACCTTCTTCTAAGCCACTTTTCATGTTGTTATTGAACACACTGAGAAATCAGAGTACCCTGTCGTCCATCTCATTTGTGTCTGCCTGGCCCTGTGATGGAATGGCATCCTATCTCTTGCTCAATGACATCCGGGATAGGCTCCAGCTCCCTTGCAGCCCTGAATTGGATTAAGTGGCTATAGAAAATGGATGGAGCGATGGATAGACATTGAGAAGTCTCTCATGCTGAACCGAGGCTCCTTTTGCAACAACAACCTCCATAGGTGTTTCCCATGCTTCTGAAACACCGAGGGGGCATTTCAGAACACTGTTCTCTGATAGCTTAAATTTGTTAATATATCAGGGACTTTTCGATTAAACATCCCTTTATGCCACAGCATAGCATCTCAGTTGAATGGACTATGTCCGATTCCTTCCTGTATTATATTTTGGATTGTCTTATGTGCTATATCAAGCAATGCATTGTAGTTAAACAACAAACAAGAAAAGACATTAAAACAATAAACCTGTTCTCATTAAATCAAGATTATGTAGGTAAAAACACCTATGTGTATATGTGGGTTGAAATATATTGGAAAACTATCTTTAAAAATGAAATAATACTCACCTTTGTGAGTTATTGCGCGGGGATTTTTCCTTAATTACTTGGGTCACATGCTCTCACCCATCCAATCACAACAACCGCCTAATTACCGACAAACAGGCTAAGTGAGAGTGCTGTTGTTGCTCTGTAACGCCCACTCCATTGGAAACGATTCTAATTTGTGGAAATTTAAAGGGAAATATGTCTCGCAATAAGATTTACTACTCTGACAGGTATAGTGACGACCAGTATGAGTACAGGTGAGTTTCCTTGTATCTTCCGCAGATGTTAACGTATTTGAACTTCTCTTAAATTAGGTGGTACTACATTTAAAAAAAAAGTCAAAATCCGTTTATTTTAACTTTTTTAATAAAGAGTTTAAGAAACGTCTTAAAACATAAACTTCACCTTTATTTGTCATGTAGAAGATAGGAGAATTCTGACGTATTTGAATTGATTCGCCAGTTGTCGTGTCCATGTTTTCTTTTAACTGACAACGTTAAATAAAGATTGTGTAGGTAAAATATGAATGACGGATGCGTTTCAGTTCAACATGGTTACTTGAACAAACTGCCTGTGAGTTGAACCCAACCCACTAAGCCTTGTTGGTCACTACGCAGCTGCATCTAATTAATCCAAATGCTCTGTCCCAGTACGCATTCATTGCATGACTAAGTATTTTAGTGTAGTTTAATTTGTATGAAATTAATATCTGCCATATTGCTCAAGTAATTATGGAGGATTTCTATCATAGGACTTGCATATTATGCTTTTTTTATTTATTTTTTAAATGTATATAACAGAAGAGAGGAGAAACGCCAGCCCCTGTTTGATAGTATACAGAAATATAGAGGCAATCCTGTTGCTTAGAACTACGGGTTAGTTAGCAAAAGCTGTCACAGAATATTAACTTTCAATACAACAGACAGTTTGTTTCCAAAAAAATATCCTCATGAGCAAAACTGTATTTTACTGTGTGTTTACCACATTGTGGCCCCATAGCTTGTAGTTATAAATTTATGGTGTGATATTACAAATAATGCAACAAATTGTAAATAGTAGTTTCCAGGCTTTTTGCTTCACAAGCGCTGTGTGGTTCAGGCAACTGCATATCACAGGTTGGTTACTTCCCTTTTTAAGGGAAAATTCTGACTTTAAAGAAGATCAAAGTCTAATATTTTGCCAACAATCAGAGATTACAGGGGGATCGTCAGATTAAGAAGAAAGAGCTGATGTTTGATTTATATTTCATAATTCTTAGTTTTCACTTACTTAACGGAATGCTTTCATGTTGAGATATTGGTACTGTGACAAGTATCTGAGTATTTCCTCATAGAGTAATCAACTCTGACCTCTCTAGACATGTTGTGCTGCCACGAGAAATGGCTAAATACATCCCAAAATCCCATTTGATGTCCGAGGAGGAGTGGAGACAGCTGGGAGTGCAGCAGTCCCGTGGTTGGATCCACTACATGAAACATAAACCAGGTACAAACTGAAAGCACTTCATATTTTTTACTTGCATTGGAACTTAATACCCTTATTCCTCTGATAATTTATTGCAGTTAATACACAATGTGCACCGAGGATTACTTAACAGGCCGGTCAACAAATACTCAACTTGTTTTGATTAATTTAATATTTTTTCATTTGTTGCCAGAGCCCCACATCCTTCTGTTCAGAAGACCTTTACTGAAACATTGAAAATATGGATGATCTTGAAGATTCCCCTGTGATTTTTATTTGACCTTTATTACTATTTTCTAAATATTCAATGTACACTCTCTAAATACTATACTTAAGCTATAATTTGTCTGTCTAGTTTCTATAAAGATATGTTGGATACGTATGGTTGCATACGAAATAATCAAATTATCGAATACATTTCTTTTTGTAATTGTCTGTGTATTTGTGTTAGACAATACTGATGTAATTCATTTAAGATGATGACACCTCCATTTTTTCAACTTGATGTCTGTTTGGGTTTTTCAATATTTGGGCACAAGAGGGTGCTGTGGCTTAAGTTGTGGTGGATGGCACAAGAAGACGACAGCAATAAAAATACTTTCTGTGTATTGCTGAGACATTTGACTTGGGTTTATGAAAATGTATTTTAGTAAATACAACTTAAGTATGTCACAACTATTATTTTTCATGGAGTTGTCATGGTAAAAATTCAATGCATTGATGTCTTAAAATACATTTAAAAAATTAAGTATGCTGCACTGTTATAACCAACTTTCAAGGGGAAATAAATAGTTCTGAAATAAAAGTCCACATGAAATAATTTCCCATTTCAATTCCAGTTCAGGGCTGTTTTACAATACAGAAGCAGAAATACAAACTTAGGAGGAGCTGAAATTACTTTAAAAATAGTGTGGTTTCTTTGGGGAGAAATATTCCACTAAATAAATAAAAAAGATGCTGATGAAAGAGTTTTTCAGAATGTGACACTTCACAAGATGACATCAAGATAAATCACGTTGGAAAGCTTTACTTCTTTCTTACAGAAACTGAAAACTTTACACAGTGAAAGTTTTATTATTCCAAACAAGCAGTGCCATCAGAACATTTTTAATCAGTACAAATAGCAACAAATACAGCCCAGACAATACCAGACTGGGGTAACCAGTGGGTATCGGCCTCCTCTTATAATTAGGAGAGATCTCAAAAACCATCATCACAACCAGCTGCTTGAGGCAGCGGCTGTGAAGTCTTTGCGTCATGGTCCATAGAACCCCCATTTATGGGGTGACACAGGCATTTCCCATCTGTTCATGAAACCTTCAGTGTCAAAGGTGTGGTCCACCTGGACTGGGGAAGTTTACTTCCAGGTCAAGGAAGTCCTCACAGGGCTGTGTGGCCATCACAGCTTTCCTGCAGACGGAAAAACAAAGCTGTACTGTGCAGTAATTCAGGATGGATACGAAAGGGAAACGATGCAGGCCACAAAGTTGCTTGTAAAGTTGAGAAAAATCATAACCCATTGTCTCAAATGTAAATAGTTATGCAAACTCAAGAGTCTGTCTATGGAATTACCTTTCTATTTTTAGGGTTTAAGTAACACTTGAATTCATGTGGCATTTTTAAAATCAATATCACCACTGACATGCAAAGAACCCAAGACTTTCTACAGGAAGCACTCCAGTGGCTTTAGTTAGAACATCACAAGACAAGTAATCGTTTTAAAGGGACATGTAAGTACTTAGTTACAGGCACCTCCAATACTGTTAGTTGAATGTGGTTAATCATCATGTGCCATGGAAAATTCGGTTAAAAGTAAAGTTAAATATATTAAAGAGAAAAGCTGCTTTGAAATTATCATAATTGATTTAAAGTATTGATTCGGTCTGTGGGAAAGACTGCAGACTAAAACAAACAACACAGTGGCAGTAACATCAAAGCTGTTGATTTAATTATTCAGGCAGCAGCCTCAATAATTCTGGACTTTGTAGTTATTTAGTGCTCCTGAAAGGTAAGAGAAACAATCAAGCAGAGTCTCGAGTACTCGAGTACTCGAGCCAAAAGTCAAACATGCAGGGCGGGTTCCAACAAGTGCATTTGATGCAAGTCAATCTCAGAAATGTCATCATTATCTTAACAAGACTCTCAACATAGACCTACCAAGGCTTTTTCCCATCTTTTAAGCAGTTGCTCGTGCTCTGCGAGTGCACCTCTCCACTGGTTCAAATCCCTGGAAGGAATGTTCTCATCTGCCAAATATCATTTATGAATATAAACCATTTTGTTTTTCCATGTCTTTAACTGTCAAGTTGGCAAGCAAGCCCAGGCAACCTATTCTGATACACCTCTGCAAGTGTTCCTGTTTAACTGCATAATAATCTCTGTCCTCCACACTGGATGTGCCACAGCCATGCAAAGCCAGGTCCAGATACCTCCAACACTGAGGCTGAGATCGACCTCAGACATGTCACTTCCTGCGCTGGCCTCAGCAATACACCGGTAACGAGCATCTTTGATCAGTGGCCTCTCTTGAAGCCAGCTGCTCACTAGAACCTCCTTCTGACTCAGCGGCTGGCGATGCTCCATTATCGGGATGTTCAAGCTGTGCCCATTTATCAGCCAGTGAATGTGGACATCACTGGGACCTGTGGGACAGAATTGGACTTTGTGTTTACCCCCGATTGCCGGGACACTTGCATGGATATCGGAAACTTTTTGGCAGGTCCGATTGTGGCAATCCATGTGAGTAATCATTTCCTGGGACTTGGAAAAACATGCAATGATACAAATGTTGCAGTTAAATGACATACATCTTAGTACCTTGTACAAATGGAATGTTTTCACCAAAGGCAAAGATTTTCCTTTTCTTAATTTCTATTTGTTATCATTAAAAAAAAAGGTCCCGCGACAAAAAGATCCCCCAGATCTTAACCTATATCATTCCAATTAAATGCTATCTTTACATTGAAAGTATCTTTTTTTTTTTCGTACAGGTTTGTGTAAAATTATTTATCAACTAATGAACAGGGTGCAGCATCTGATCAGCGGGACAACGTTAGAGACAAACAGGCAACAGTACCAACAAGCTAACTAGGATCTTCAGAGTTGGAAGTTTCATTTCCAATCTCTGAATAATGCTTTGTTTCATTTATTGCAAAAATCTTAACCAGCTTCAATTAGACTTTACAGCTTTTGGAGATGGCCCTGTCTATTTTAAAGCTTCACAAACAATGATAAATGCACATTGGTTACTATGAATCAGAAAAACAAGGCAGAGTTGAAAACATAATGTTTATTTAATCTATCTACCAAGAACCACATTCCCAGATTTGTCCCCTTAATTTCTGTACACCCCCCCCCAAAAAAGAAAAAAACACAAAAAAAGGATTTTCGATATATACAAATATATCTACATTTGTTTACAGTCACAAAATAATAATACAAAAAACATTGCAGACAGTTGAGTGGACTTTAATTTACATATTTGCAACAATTAGGTACTACTTGAGCTGGAAGCATGTATATAAAAAGTTTCCCCATCATTGTGGTTACACACAGTTTAAACAGACTGGCAGATTTATTGTTTAACAAGCCCTGGTGTTATCTTTTCAAACACTGATCAAACACATTTGGTTGTTCACAAGTCAAACACCTGAAAGCAAAGGTCTGTTTTGCTATGAGTAAAACCAGGAACACAGCCATGCTCGCTCTTGGTTAGTTTGTGTGGGTAAATGGTCGCATGCAACGTGTAGAGAGGTGATGGGTGAAATTTGTGAGGAGACAGGACTCCCAAACAGAGCACCTGTCTCTAATGCAGGGGAGGTTAGAGGTTTGAGCCGACTCAACATCTACCGGCACAACTCACCCAGGGCGAGGCAGAAGAGCAGAAATGACTCCTGGGCATGAATTCCCCAGGCCTGGTCCTTCAGCAGGGGAGGCAACAGTCTCACCTCTGCCTCCCGAGCCTCCACGTTGTGAGGCTTGGTGGAAGAAGAGGAGGTTGAGGAAGAGGAGGACAAGGAGAAGGAAGATGGAAGGGCAGAGCTACTTCCAGAAGAGAGCAGGGAAGATGAAGTGTCGATAGGAGAAGAGGCTGTGAGGGGAGGTGGTGAAAAGAGGAGAGAAAAGTCTCAACAAGGGATGACATGCAAAGGAGGGGACGAATGAATGATGAAAAAAGGAGTGGTTTCAATAAATAAAATAGAAAGATCACAGCTATGCCTTAAACAAATATGGTAGTACCACAGATTGGTCACTTTAAAAAATATAATCTGAGAATGTTATGAAATCGAGGGTTTAATAAAACCACAATAAGAAAAAATAAAAATTCTGATTTTCTCCACGGCTCCATTGTCAAGTTTGAGTTCAAACAGTCCACTTTACTTTCTTTGTTAGACCACATGAGGGGAGATGACCGGTGGAGGTTAATACATGAGATCATCAGGAATGTTGCCTTCACAGGTAGGAATAAAAATAAAATGTAGAAGAGAGCAGCAGCGCCCTCCTCCGAAGACAGTGGTTCCGTACATTCCAGCATCCTTCCATCAATCGTGCCGTCACATGTCCACTTTGCTTCTTTTCTGACCTCACGATGCCACTTCACATACTGGGGGCAGCAGTTTGCAACGCTGAACGACAAATTTAGCCTCTACCATACAGAGCAACTCTTCCCTGAGAAAAACTACAATGTTGAAGCTATTATAGTCAATAAAATAGCCAAACAAAAAGATGCAAATGCTTTAAGAGAGTACTCTGAACTCAGGCTGTACAGAAATATGACTCCAATTTGGAAAACATCAGGGTAACTTACCAATTTGGTAAACAATGTTTCCAGTTTGGAAGGTAAGAAATAGCTTCTCTTGCTGGACTAAACTGAGAGGGCGCAGATTTTCTGAGTGCACATTTAGCTTGACCATCACCTTAAATCTGAGGAGTAAAGGCTCCACAGTCAGACACGATGCTCGCCTCAAACCTCGTGATGATTAACCGGTGCTGGATGCTGTACTCACTTTTCATTTAGACACTTAGCTTGTTTGCTGCGCAGACACAGAGGGCGCGACCTCCCGTGCAGTTTTTACACCCACAGAAAGGAAAGCAGGATAAAGACATATGGCTAGCATAGACACTAATCTGCGTCCGCAAACTGGATGGACTGAGAGTCGCCGTCCACATCGAAAGGTTTCTCCTGGGAGGAGCTGTCGCCCCCATAGGCGTGCGAGGGGATCTGGCCGTTGCCGCACTCTGGTTCAGTCTCGTACCCGGTGTCGCGGAGCGCGCGTAGGTTTTGGGTGTTTTGGCTGCCGTTCTGGTTTGGCTGCTCAGTCATGTTAATCTTGTCGACAGCAGATGCTTCCATCAGACCTGCCTCACAGGCCCTGTACTCGGGCTGGTGGGCGCTCTTGTGGCTGCCCAGCAGAGCGGCCCGCAGCCTGAGGCAGGGAGCGGGGAGGTACTGCATGTAGCAGTTGTACACCACCGCCGCCAAGAAGAGGAGGAAAAACAGGAGGAAGAGGAAGAGGAGGGCCATGCTGTTGTTGTGCTGCAAATACTCGGTGGTGGGGTCGCTGCTGTCTGGATCGGGAACGACGGAGTTCGGGGGCAGGAGATGCTTGGACTGGACCTTGACTGTGCTGCTGGGTGGGGGGGTTAGTGATGAGTCAGGCTGCGGTGGGGAGGTAAGCAGGTCTGCAGGTGTGAGGCTGGCTGAAGTTAGTGGGGCTTTATCCGCTTTCACATTACCTTCAGCTGCACGCGCTCTACTTGTCTCCTGGTTACTAAAGGTAGTGGCTATAGGGTCGGCCCGGGGTCTGGGTGGAAGATCCAGAGTCAGGGTGTATCCAGCCATAAGGCGGCTGAAGTTCTTCCCAGCAGCGGGGGCCCATTCCACGGACCAGCACTCATAGTAACCCTGATCCTCTGGTGCCACGCTGTAAATGAGGAGTCCGTTTTCGGCTATGAAGTGGAAGCGAGAAGCCTCAGTGAGAACTGAACCGTTAGATTTCCAGATCAGCTGTGCCAGGTTGGATTTTACCAGGCATGGCAGCTCAGCAGAGCTCCCTGGTTTGACCGTCACAAGCTGGTAGTCTTTCTGAGGCACAGCTGGCACTAAGAAGAAAGCAAAAGGAAAATTATGTGTTTTTGATTGTTAAATTCTTATCAAGAAATGGTTAGGAGGTTCAAATGATACTTCACCAAAACCAGAGCAAAAACAGATATTTCCCACTTTCTGTTACGGGAATTATTGTCCAAATGTTTTATATGCATTATCTATCTATTTGATCTTTAAAAAGGAAAGAAAAACAACCCTACCTGAAGGACACTTGTGTGCGTCCCCATCCAGACTCTGGATTAAACTCCTGAAACACAAGCACAATTTTAAAGGACCACGAACTCTGCACACACTCTGATAAGGCATCTAGCGTGACACGGTGAAGCCGGTCAAACTGGGAGATACATCAGTGCTGCCATCTCTTAATGCGGGTTTTCGGGTGCACTAGCAGTACAATAATGCATGGGGAAAGCACTGGTGTGCAAAAAGACGATCAGAGCAATTAAGGGATGAACATCAGACATTTGAAAGACAGTTACCTGGACTGCTGATTGGGAGAAGCAACGATATTGACACAGGTGGCCGTTTTTGGATCCCAGGCGCAGTAGGGGTCTCGTGACAGGATGCAATCATGGCAGGAAGAATACCTGCTGCAGAAAGCTGTGGGTGACTGCACCACGCCGGAGTCTGAACCAACATAGAGGGACTGTGTCTGTGGAAGCAACAAGACTGTTCATGAAAAAAGACAAAGGACAGCAGGAACAAACTTACTTTTTAATGTGCAGGGACAAGATTTAAATGTTGAATAAAAGATTAGCTGGTGGTTTCTTTACTTCCATGTGCAGCCAAAACAAAAAAGCCACTGACCTCTGAGGACAGCAGTAGGTTTTTGATTGGTTCAGAATTCTTCAGTAGCTGTATCTCCTCCATAATATGAACTTCCTCTTCAAAGACCACTGATTTGTGCAGGACACCTTTATCTAGAGAGATTAATAACAAAATATTACTCAACCAAAACTGTGTTCTGGTATTGAAATAAATACATACACATCTCTTTAAAGAAACTTAATTTCCTTGAAATGTTTGACCCAAATACTGAGCATTCCCTGACACAGATGAGTAAAATGGGTTAATGTAGCTGATAAAGGACATTGCATTACCTGTTCCAGTGAAGATAACATCGTAAATGGTCTTATCAAGCGCTAGGACCCTTTCCACAACAATCTGTGTGTAATTGACGTCTTTGGTAATAAGGCGAGGCCTATTGCCGATGGGCAGGATGGGATCCTCCAGCAGGGGGTGGTCCTTAACAAACTGAAGGGTTTTATCCGGCAGATGGAGTGAGCTGTTGATGTTCTGCTGTCGCATCAGGTTGTTAATACACTGGTGGAAGACAGAAAAATATTTGTCTTAATTTGGGTATATAACATCTATGAGAAACTTGTACATTGTTTGGGATAACAACTGCAATGATTGCACAAAATACTACCGTAGTGTGGGTGACTAAATCACACAAAACTGGAGGCAGTTTTAATTAATCAAGCTAGTCTTTAAGTCACTTACAGCACCAGGTCGTGGAGTTGGCATGATGCCATTGTACCGCACCCACTTTGTGTGCGACTGCTCTACAGTGGCCTTCTGCATGTACTTTCCTTTGGTGAAGACTTCCTCCACAGCAGTCATGTTGTAGGCACACACCGCCGACAAACCCACGTTTCCCCTGCAGGAGTGAAACACAGCTGGTCAAATATGGGGACATTAGGACTGAAAACACAGAGGGGGTAAGGTATTAACATGAAGCACTGTGTGTTGTGGCGCACCGTGCTGGTTGCCAGTCAAAAGCTAATAAAAACACTCACCATTGAGAGGTGAAGACGCCGTAAAAAAGCGTGTCCTCTTTCGCCTCTTTCCCCTTCAGGATGAAGACATCGTGCACCACGTTGAAAACAAAGTTGAGCTCAGGCATGGAGCACACCAGCTTGGCTTTGAGGAAAGATGTCCACTTCTTTTGCAGAGTGCGCTGCCCTCCGAGATCACCCTGGGAGGGGATGTCGCAGATATTAGACGGTGAGTTACAAACGTGGATTGAAAAAAAAAAAATCTTTCAAAAGAAAATGACAGGTACGTAGATTGTGATGACTTCTACAAGGCTGACAAATCGCCGCAGTTTTCCAAATCTTAATAAGGTTTCTTTATGAATTCTAGTAAGGTAAAAGACAAGATAAGGAAATGGGACAGGGGAGGAAAAGAGGAAAGCTGTGCTTCCAAAAACAACAGGGAGACAGGGGCTGCAGATGGTGCACGACGTGTGCTGACCTTACAGACGCGAGCCACCCTGGGGATGAGCAGCTTGCCAAAGAATTCATACTCCACAGACACCTCGGTGAAGAAGTAGTAGATTTTGTCGTCCTCACCATCTGCTCGGTTTTTCCTTTCTCTGATTACGTCAGCAAAGACAAAACTGGGCTCTGAGTGTAGAGATGGGACAAAAGTTAGGAGACTGGACAAAGAGTTTTGTGTGTGCTTCTGGAGGGGCAATTCAGCAGAGATGTAGAAAAAAAAAGGAGACAGGACTTGACTAGTTTTGTGCAGAATCACTGAGGTAGATCTAGTTTAGCTCCAATAACCACCGAGCGCTACATCTGATTTGAGCATCTCTCACATGTTGTTCCAAACTCACCATTTAGCCAAGATGTGGAATATTCTGTCCTCAGCAGAGAGTGGGGTGGCGAGTATCTGGAGATAATCGGTTCACTTCCTAAGAAGTTATAAGCCGTCCCGGAGTACAGCTCTCCATCTGATGGAAAAGTAAAGAGAAAGGCTAAGCGAGTTTGCCTCTCACAGAAAGGGATTACTGAAGATTATTATGCATTTTTCCGCAGGTCTTACGACAAAGAGAGCTCTTTGTGAAATGAGATAAAATTGGCCTCAACTCACCAACCATGACAGTAGTAAAGCTTTGTGAGGGGTCAAAGGAGCATTTCCCCCTGCCATCTTCAGGTCTGCCCTCCAAGGAAAAGTCAGCCAGATTCTGACAGAAGAAATCAAGTGTTAAAGTTTGTGCAGCTGACTAACCTTTCTGAACAAGTGTGTATTTGTGTGTTGTAGTTGTGTTGTGGTGTTCTCTGTAAAGGTGGGAGGGCATTGACTTACCAAGTAATCGCACTGGGGTTGAAAAGCATGTGTGCCACAGACATAAAGCTTCTGATCGTCAACAACTTGAAGTACTCGAATGTAGTTAAGACAATCTCTCTGAAATGCCACAAAATTGATGATTCAGGGCTAGAACGATTGCTTTTGACCTATTACAAAATAAAACTTTTCATGCAAAATGAACTAAACAAACCTCTTTCGATTTTCCTTTGAGTGTGCACATGGTCATGGGGATTTCTGTAACTGTCCACTGAACCTTAGAGGAGTAAATAAATAAAAAAAGGTAATCAGAATTGTAATTTTAAATGTCTTCCCCCCTATTATTGCAAGTGTTCTTGCTCCTTCGGTACCTTGTTGTTTCTGATGGTCACATTCTTCTTGCTGAGCTCAAAGATGGCCTCCCTTGCTCCCACATACAGTGCATCCCTGTCCTCACTCAGCAGTAGGGTCGAATAGTTGAAGACCCCAGGCTCAGAAAACTCCATCAAATCCAAGTCTGAGCAATAAAAAAACAAAACTCTTTTTTTTAACCACATTTTGGCAACTGGCAAAGTTGGGGTAGAAACTGGTGAATATAGTTTAAATTCTACATCTATAAAGTTACATATTGTCAAAGTTCTGGTGATGAAAACACAGTTGAAAGTTTTCATTTATGCTGCTGAGCCATATTGTGTGCACTGAATCCATGCTAAAAGACAAACCAGCTTGATGACAAGTGTCCTATATTGAGTAGGCGGCTTCAGTTGGGTCATAAGACAACTGCTTTCAGTACACAGTCAGATAGGAATTATGGAAAGCCCCGACTTCAAAAGTTCCAGAACTTTCCAAAGTTACTGCAGTAGTGAGACAGTACACAATACTGTTGGGCAATAACACACATTTCTAATAAGAAGCTCAAATTTTATAAAGCATTAGTACTGTGGTTACAGTACATGCAGATGAAAGGGCTAAAAACTGTTGATAATAAAACTTGAATAATTACAGACTGCATAGAAACCAAATAAGCACTAAAGTGCCTGTGAAAAGACCACCATCTTCCCTGAGAACAACTCTGGACAACTTCACAAAAACGATGGTCTGCTTATGCTTCACTTCTGCTCTCCGCTTCCTACTCGACACGCTGTGATTGATGGCGTGTTTGTGTTTGGGTGCCATTGGCTGTGCCAGGTGCAAATGGCTTCAGGTTGCAGATGCAGCGAATAAACACTACCGTGATGAAAGCAAGTACAGTGAGAGGGGAACGTTGTTAAAGGATGAGCTGCGCTCGTTCTCACAGAGAGACCGAGTTACTCGAGCTATTTCTGTAAACAGCAGAGAACTTTCACCTCACAGAACGCCAGTCTAAAACGAGCGCCTGTGGCGAGACAGAGTCTGCTCTCATGATAAAAATCACGTAATAGGCGAGCAAAATATTCTATTGTGAACTTGAGGCACTGAGTTGTGACACCTTTGAGCTAAAAGGGTGACGGCTCTGTTCGTTCAGAGGAACCAGTCCTCCGTTTCTTGTGCTGATGTTATACAAACCACAAGATTAAGACCCCCTATTCATACTAACGGCCATCACTGACGACTCACTAACGACCATGTGTCCTTAGAGTTTTTATTTCAATTAGTATAACATTTATAACGAACCCTTAAGAAATAGGGATATGGTTTAGGCCTAATTGGAGGCAAAATATCTTCCTTAACTAAAGTAAGAAATTACATAGAAGTTACTATGTTTTTTTTTTTTTTCTTTTCTGCAGATGTCACAAAAGCCAGAATTAGGACTGCGAGAAGTCTTACCCTGCTGCTTCCATGAAGTTCGAGGTACAGCGTGAGGTCCGTGAGTGGAGACCTCCAGGAGCAGCCCCAGAAACACTCCCAGCACACCAAATCCCATATTGGCGTCCGATAGCTTTGAAACTGTGAAGTTTCCCCTACAGGATGACACAAAGAAACCACTGATGTGACAAGCTCAAAACAGCCCTTACATAGCCTTTCGCACTAACTTCCTCTTGCGCTGATCGTATCACGCAACACAAATGATGGAGGTGACAAGCATCTAATCAGGTTCCCTTATGTTGAAAGCTGCTAGTACTTGTTCATCCTCTTAGAAAAAAAAAACAAAAAAACAAAGCATGTCACATGGGTTTTGGCATAATCCTCATCTTTAAAATGTGGAATGACAAAAAAAAACACACCTGCCACTTTTGGCGACAGGTATGAAAGCATTTAATGCCTTTTAAAAAAATAAGTAGGTATTACTATTTTTTAAATCATCAAAAAGATTTTTTTTAAGTTTCATTTCTTTTTTTGCATGCCAAGCCTTTAAAGAAGGGAAACAGGAAAACATACAATAGTTTCACTTTAACAAGGTATCAAAAGAGACAGGAGACAGAAAGGCTGCTGCAATATCTCAATTTATAATTTGGGATGTGAATACTTCAGACCTTGGGGCTGTAAAAAAACAAAAAAAAATTCATTGCCTTAGGAAATGCATCATCGCTGAAAGATTTTGATCGATTGATCTGTTGTCCTCAGGATGACGATGACGACAATGATGACGGAGTTCCTGGTAACATTCAGCTCTTATCAAATGGGGTGTCCTTTACCATTTGTCAATTTATGAGGCATTCAGCAGACTCCCAGGTCCTGCCTGTTACATTCACCTCAGGATAAGCCTGATAAAAACCCCATTAAGCTGCTATGTGCCATTCATGTGGGTGTTTAACCTCAAATAGCCCCACTCAAATCAGCTGATGTCATATCCAATAAAACCATATGCATTGTACTAACAAAAAACAAATGGAAAATGGACTGCACTTATATCGAGCTTATCCTGTTGAACTGACCACTCCAAGGGCTTTACACTACATGTTATCCACCCATTCACGTTTCCCCCTACTGCTGTGGAAGTGAAACCTGCTAAACCTCAGAATTAGCCTAAAATTATTAATCATTTTTCTTTTTAAGGACTGTGATTTGAAATCTAAAGTGTTAAATATCCATCACAGGAGCAATCCATGCATCTCGCATCTAGTTGGCAATTTTAGGACAACAGGAAAGCTGGGATTAAAAAAAAAAGAACACAGAGACAAACACAAAATAAAGCAAGCTTTAAAGCTTGAGTAAAATATTAAAATGGATCTCAAATCTCCTCCAATCCTGCCTGTAAAACGCACAGCCAAATTCACTGCAGCTCTGGAGGTTGAACACTCTTTTGTTTTGGTCAGTTTCCATGCAGTCCTTTACTTCTCAGGATACATTGCTGTAAATGGACGTTTGAACGGGCGCCTGTATAATTCAACCGGTCTATATAAACCAGTCTTTTATAGCTTTTAAACACTGAGGAGGCTGTCTTTAACAGAACTATAGGCCCCCTACGTGCTGCATTTACTCATGGTTAATATTGTTGTAAGCAGAAAGCAGGTGGGTCTGTGAATGTTTCTGAACAAGTAAACCGATCTGGCACGAAGCAGGTTATTCTGGTTTTATACGAAGCTGAAGTACCTGCTTGACACTTCTAGAAAAAGGGATGATCGGTCATGTGAAGAATGTGATTAAAGCCTAACAAATGTCTTGTAAGATGAGAACTGAATCAAGAAACTGAAGGTCAAACCAAATGGGGGTAGGAAGGCAAACAAGATTCTATCTCATGAGTCGCTTTACTGCCTCGGTTTTTGTCCTCATATGAGTCGTTTTCTGTAAAAAAAAATTCTGAATTGAAACTCAGAAAAAAAACAGTCAATTGGTTTTTAATGACACAGTGGCCCCATTACTGCTCATTCCACTGAAATATAGGTTAGTAATTAGTCAACCAAGCAAGGGTGACGTGTATCATGTGTCACTGCACAGGCAATCAATGGGGCCCTTGGCAGCTAAACAAAAAGAAGGGTAATGATAATTGAATATCGATTGATAATAAATTAGTACAACTGAACCCCGAGGCCACGACCCCCTTGTATACATCTAACCTTTTTGGGGGGGAAAATTTAAACAGAAACATCATGCAAACATTAAACTCCATCCAAGCTTAAGGCCTAACCATGGACTCCACTTTACTAAAACGTGGGAGAAGGAGGGGGTCACACACACAATGACCTATTGTTTCCTGAGGATGAGGGTAGCCTCCACTCGACTCCATTCCACCCCCCCCCTTCACATCCACGTCATCACTGCTGGGCAGTCAACAATGCACAGAGAGCAGGGGAACAGCATCTCCTCTCCTTCTCCTCCCGCTCGGCCGTCTTGCCAGCTTAAATGCCAGGGCAGCTTAGCCATGAGGAAAGCACCAAGCCAAGCTGGTCTTTTCAAAGATCGCACAAGCCCATGAGATCTGGATAAACCCGTTAATGGAAAAACAAACTGTCCAATGGCCGCAGCAGAAACTGCCCCTGTCAAAGGGGACAGAAAGGGACTGAAATCGCAACAGTGTGGACGGGTAAAAACTAATGACCAAACTAAAATACCATGACAAAGAACACCAGGTTGTAAAAATGTGTCTTTATAAATTTGTTTTTTTACAACAATCCATCTGAACTATCCTGCTGCCCTTTATCTCTGGCAGTGAGAAAATCCTCAGAGTTGGTACGGTACAGTAGCAGAACAGGCTTAGCTGGAGCAACTCTTTGCTGCTGAGAGATTTAGAGGAGTGGCCGTACTGGTCTGAGATATTTAAGACGGTAACCATGCTGGCAAGTCTCTTTGAGGCCTTTGTGTTCCCCTCTCGGCTCCTTTTGCTGGGCAGGGAGTTGACACCTGCTTAGGGCCTTGGGGTTCCCAGCACTGTGCTATTAACTGGGCGCAGATATTGGCAGGGTGCCGAATGAAGACAGGGGACAGAGAGGGGGAAACTTGAGCTCTGCTTTTCTGCGCCTGAGAAAAGTAATTTCACGTCTTTTTGCTGGGGCACTCACTGTTACACAAATCATTTGATAATAATGACATTCTGTGCCTTGTGCTCATTGGCCAGTGTTGGTTTTGGTCCCATAACTTCCCTTAAACATTGCCCATTTTCAGCTAATGTGAGAAAATGCTCTTCAAGTCATCAGGCCCTATATTTAACAAGACCAGGAAATTAGGGGTCAAGCTATGTGGCAATAATGGAAATGAACATTTATTGCCATGAATGAATTTCTATACTGCAGCAATATTGATATATATTCACAAAACAGAGCCGAGCCACCTAAAAAACTAAAGTGTTTAGCAGCATTTCAGTCGGGAAAACCCCAAACGTTGCCCTAACAGGTGCAGTTATAAACCACAGTACAGAAAACCTAAGTTTCCTATGCAGTTTTCACTTGAGACGCGTGCCTGAACACTGTAGCGGAAACCACAGCACAGCTTGTGTCATTTAAGTTAGAAACAAATTGTTAGACAAAATGTTATCTAAATTCTCTTCCTGGTTGGTTGCTATGAGGCAAACGTATTATCTTAAACTGTTATCATTTCTTTAGCAGTCTCCCATACCCAGCTTAATTGCCGGTTTGGATGAACTGGATCCCATCTACTTCCTTCAAGAAATGGATGGCTGCCTAGCTATAAAGTGCCACCACATGTCACTTCATTTTCAGTGCAGAGAGAGGAGACAAGAAGCTCAGCATCCTGTCCACTGAAAGTGTGGAGACGATCCAAAGCGGAATAGAGGGTGATGTGAGGAAGTTAAACATTCAGTGCCTGCCAACAACTCTAGTCCCGCAGTGGCTGCTTTTTTCCACGCACTCACTATCAGCATAAGCGCACTGATATGTTTCTTTTCCTTTTACTGCAGGCTGCCAAGAGAGTGAAACCTCTCTTTTTTTTCTTTTTTTGTGGCTCTGTGTGTAGATATAATACCCATGTGTAAAACCATTGACACACTGTAATGGGAGAGCAACTTGATGCAGTTTATTTTGTGGTAAGAAAGTCTTGCCTGGCACCTGGACATAGACTGTGCTCCGCAAAAGCTTCAGTCGGTCTTCTTACTTCATGTAAAGTGGCCATTAAGCAATTCAATACCTGAGAAGCTTACAGGAAGAAGCACAAACAGTTACTCAACTAACTACATACCACACCGACTTATGATGACAGACATTTATCAGTGGTACCATCTGTACAGTTCCCACCCAACTGTAGGATGGTGATAATACACCACCAACAACTCATGATTGTCAAGCTACTATACTAAAAGCGCTCTGTTGAAACTACTGGTTTAGGCCATGGTGTATGACCTAAACCTTAATGGTGTACGGATCGTGTGACTGTTACTGGACTCAGCTACATAGGTCAAAGGTCCCTCAGAAAGGCTCTAATGCAAAAAAGAAAATGTATAAATAATCTTTGCTTGGTTTATGACCAATTGACAAAGAGTAAAGAACAGTGAGACATCGCCTGAAGTGGAATTTAATAATTCAGCTTAAAACAGCCCAAATATTGATACCATGATCTTTGTATCAAATTTCCTGTAGGGTCAAAAATCACTTAATCAACCCATAAGGGTAATTAATGTGAGAATAGATTTATGGGAAGTTCAATATTCAATCAACAACAGTACAAATGGACAAGAATGCCAGATTTTTTTTTTTTAATGTCTACATGAAGTAAAAAAATACGACCAACCCAGCTGTTCTCTGTAACAGTTCTTTATGACTCTGGCTGCAGATCTGTGGTTGTTATCATGCAACTGAGAGTCACTTGAAACAAAATACTGAGACCGGAGAGGATGACACACTGATGGGGACAGATGTCTGGTCCAATGTCATTAACAGATTAATGGAGTTTGGCCATAGATGTGGCAGAGACCTGAGCTAGCTCACACATACACATGATAATGCCAGCTGAGGGCATCAAATCCCTCTTATGAGACCTGACAGGGTCTGAGAGTCTATTCTAAAATGCTGGCAGCTGCGTCAGAGTTTTGAGTTGCATTTCGCTGACAGGCTGAACTGTTACGCTTTGA